ATTTGATTTGAAATAATCCCGAGGTTAAATTAACCATCACAACATTCATACACAGCCAAGATGCACATCGCTGAAAAACTGTATCTAGCTTATTAACGTTATTGCAAGCATAATCTCAGTGAGAATGCTGGTTGGCCTGCGAGATTATCAGCTAGCATAATCCATGATATTAACACGTGTACAATGTCACGTAATACTTCAAGACTTCCTCCTCCAGAGTAAACACACGTGGACACACAGCATACTGACAGCCAAGGTAACTGTGGACTGAACAGCTGAATCTACTAATGATGAACACCGGTCACAGCGCTTGAGGTGACTTGGGTAAAACCTTATCTAAAACCTTTTGCAAAATAATCAATTGACAAATTTGTTTTTTTATCACTAATTTAGTGCTAAATTTAGAATTTTTTCAAATATATTAAAACATATAAAAATGATTTTATACACAAACAGTAGCAGAAACATGTGAACTCTGAAATGTGATTTACCGTCACCTGTGTTCTGAGAGTTCGTGTCCCCTTCCTGCGGCTCTGGTGACATCACCGTCTGAAGCTGCTCCTCTTGCTGCTGCAGTCGGTCGACCATGGCAACAATGCAGTTGATGCTCTTTCCGACATTCACCCACACCCTGTCCTACACAAAAACAAGCACATATAAAAACTGGAATCATACAACGCTGTCGGAAACACGCAGACATCACACACACTCCAACTTGCCCACTCCTCCTCGTCGTACTCCGTGTCATATCGGCCACCATCCTGCTCCTGATCGGCGGGATAGTTCTCACACAGCAGCCCATTGCTGTGGACGTGGCTGCTGTTGGCGTTTGCGATGCACTGGTTATGGATCTCCAGCAGGGCGCATTTTACCAACTCCTCTTTGAGCGCTTGCACAAACTGCTCGGTCTGGCGGACGACAAAGTATGGGGAAACATCAGATTTCTTGGTGTCCAAACGACTCCCGGTTAGCTGCATTCTTCTTATTCCTTCCTCACCTGTTCCATCAGGCTGCCCAGGACCTGCCGCAGCCGGGCGGCGTTCAGCTCCTGCGCGACGGAGAGCAGCTCCTCTGCGAGCCCGAAGACCAACGGCTGCAGCTGGGCCATCCTTGTCAGCAGCTCCTTGGCTCTAGAGCTCTCCTCCTGGGAGTAAGAGACACAGCTGGAGAGGAAAGAAAGGAGGACGAGGAAAACTTTACCAACAAGCTAAACTGAAAGAGACTGAAGAGTCCAACAAGTCCACCTGTGTAGATTACACACTCGGGATGTTTACAGCAGATAACAACATGAATTTGTATTGAATCCTTAGCTGCAACATTTTGGCTTTTTAAAACCAGATGTGAAGGACATGGGTTACATCCAAGACTACTGCGCTCTCGTAATCTAGCAGATTTAGCCTAGGCGGTCGATTTAACTCTAGGTGGGGCCATTATTTCCAAACTAAACATGTTGTAATCAAAAAGATGATTGATGCTATAAACTCATCACAGAGTTT